AAAACACCAACAGTAATCACTAGAAGAGTGAGAATATACACACATATACATATATATATATATACTTTAACCAATTTAAACCACACCAAACACAAATAAGTGAATCACGTATGTTCAGAATATCTTTCATTTTTGTTATCATTCTCTATTTCCAGGAAGTTTTTTTTTTTTTTTTTTCTTTTTTCATTAGTCAGTTCTCAATGTAGAGCATTTTTTTTTTTTTTTCTCTTTTTATTTCTTCTTCTTTCTGTACAATTCATGCATTTGACTCTGCCTGGATTTGTATAATTTTTATTATTATAATGTTTTTCTTTTATTGTGTTGTGGTTTTTAAATGTTTTTTCTTTTGATTGTTTTGTACTTTCAAAGTATTTTCTCCAAGACTCCCTTTCATCAAAAGAACTGTTAGTGTTTTTTTTTTTACTTGTTCCTATGATGTGATTGGCTGTTCCTTGGATTATATTAATAAAGTGATTTGAAAACTATGGATAAGAGAAAAGGGAAAAAAGAAATACGAATACATACATGCATACGTACGGATTAAAATATATATATATATATATATATATTACGGTAAAAAAGTTGTATCCATAAATAAATATATATGTATACAAGTATATTTATTTATGGATAGGAATATATATGTATTTATTCTTCTATATTTTTCTGTGTATTCCCAACCTTTTGTACATAAACTCTAATGAGTCACACCCAATGGATTTCCCCCCACTTTTTTTTTGTTTCTTTTCCCTTTTGACTACTCCTCATTTCTTCTCTTTCCCTTTTCTTCTTCTTATCTCTACAACAGACTGTCTGCTGCCATTACAAGTAATACGAACCACAGCCACCAAAGCAACAACAACAACAGCAGCAGCAGCAGCCCGTACACCAATAATAGTAGTATATATTGATATATATACATATATACATATATATATATATATACATAGTGAGAGTAGGTCTAGTAATACTGCTCTATCCACGGTAAGTTCCCCCACCCCCCTTCCTCCTCTCTCTCTCCATTTCTCTTAAATGACGGTTGTGCCCAAACCCGGCGATGTCTTCCACGGCGAGGACGGCAGTGTCTCTGTGGTGCTGCCGGACATGTGCGACCCGAACGTGGAGCCGACCCGCGAGGAGGTGGAGGAGTACGCGGAGTGGCTCGGCATCGACGTGCAGCGGGAGCCGCAGCTGCTGGGAATTGCGCGCGAGGGCCTCATGACGCCGCTGCCGCCGGAGTGGCGGGCCTGCCGGACGGGGGAGGGCGAAGTGTATTACTTCAACTTCCACACCGGCGACAGCAGCTGGGACCACCCGATGGATGAGGTCTTCAAGCAGCGCGTGGAGGCCGCTCGCGGGAGGCCCGCAGGCATGAGGGAAGAGGGAAAGGGAAAGGAAAAGAAGAGTAAAACAACAACCGCCTCCTCCACAGCGTCATCAAGCATCACCACAACAGGGAGTGGAGAGGGAAGACGATTAGAAAAGGGAGCGGCGGGAAATGTGGAGTCGCCAAAGTGGGCGGGAAAGAATATAAACACCACCACCACCATCGCAGCACCATCGAGTCTGTCAAAGGCACCACTCTCTTTACAAAGAGGGAATGCATTAGGACAACCAACACCTACCGTGCGATTGGGACGATTAGGGGCATTAGGAACACCAGCAGCCACACAGCGTATTCAACCAGATGTGAGTGATTTGTTCACATCCCCCACTGCGAAAACAGATCGTGCACTCACCCGGTTTAATCTTGGTGGAGGAAATAGTAGCAACACTACGAACATCAACACCACCAACAATAATAGCAACAACATGATTCATAATAGTAGTACTGGTGGTGGTATGGGGAGTGGTATTATTAGCAGCCCTACGTTTGGTGGATTAAATATTGGACTTGGTAAACAAACAAAGACGGTTGATGGTGCAAAAGATCTGGAAGCCCATATTCGTCAACGTGTTAATGACGAAATAGAGGCACGTCGACGTGCTATGCGATTACGTTATGAGAAGGAATTAAATGATGAGAGTGAAATAACAGCCGCAGCTTTAGAGAAGGCCAAATTGGAGAATGAACGTAAACTCACTATAGAAGAACAACAACAGCAACGGGGAGAACAGAATTCACAGACAGAATTGCAAACAAAGCAGAGGGCATTAGAACGGCAATATGAAGAAACAAATGAGCGGGTAACTTCACTTCGGAATAAACTGCAACAACAGAAAAGTACATTGGAGAATAAATTGAATCAGGCTATAGCGGAGGCAAAGGAGAAATTGCAGAGAAATCATAACGAGAGCTTAGCAAAAAAACGTGAGATGTCAGCAGCTACTCTAAAAAATGAAAAAGAAAAGTTAACCAATGGCTATGCGAAAGACCTTGAGGTTCAAAGCAAGATTTCAGAACGAAAGAAAACTGTAAGCGTGGAGAACTTTGAAAAGGAACTTAATACAGCACGGTTAAAACGTATAGAGGAACTTGCGGCGAAACGAAAAGAAGCAACTACTACTAGTACTAGTACTAGTACTACTATTAATAATAATAATAATAGTACATCAAAGTCTGTGGAAGAAGCCCAAAAGGCGTATGAGGCGGCTGTAGAAAAGGCAGCTTCTGAGGCGACCACATCCCTGGAAACACTACGCCGTGATTATACCGCTAGAGTAGAGAAACTACAGGCATCAAAGGATGAAAAGATACGTGCAAAAGAAGCGGCAAAGCGAGCAGAAATGGAAAGTACACCTGCCGATAAATTGGCTAAGCAGAAGGAACAAGCGTCACTTGTGGAAGCAGAAGAGGCACGATTACGAAAGGCATTAAATGAGAAAATTGCCAAATATGAGGAGGAAACACGTCGAATAGTGACAACTAAACAAGCAGAAGCTAATAGTGTTAAACCAACACCTACACCTACACCTACAAAAACCCCAACCCCAACCACACCATCAGTTAACACTGAGAATAATAATAATAATAACAATAATAACAGTGTTAATGCTGGAAATAGTGGGAAGAGTAATAGTCAGGTTCGTCCATCACCCAGTATTATACAGGAACAACGTCGTTTTGAAGTGGCTTCTCGTCAGCTGGATGCAAAGCACGATCAAACAATGATGCGTATTCGCAATGAACACACAAAGGCACTTCGTGATCGTAATATATTTGATCCACGTGAATCTCCTGAGTATTCAGCTTTAGTGCAAGAGCAACAGAAGGCGTGGCTTAGTGAACATCCCGCTCCCACACAGACTTCACCAGCACAGGATTCCTTCTCATCTAAGACCGGAGTCGTAACCACACCAACATCATTATCATCAGTATCGACGAAAGGTGAAAAGGAACAGCAAAAACCCACCAATGTTGGTACTCCTGGTGTTGGTAGTAGTAGTAGTAATTGCAGTAGTACTGGAAAGGATGGAAAGAAGACGAAGCGTGAGCAACAACTCGAAGAATTAGGGGCTACATTGGAAAAGGAAGTGAAAGAGGCCATTGATGCATATCGTGCTAAACGAATGGAAGAGATTCGAGCTGAACTCACAAAGTACCGTGAGACACTGGCGGAACAAGAACAAAAACGATTATCAAATCTTTCTGCTAACATCAATGCAGAGGCAGAAGCGAAGGCACGCGCAAAATATCCATTGCCATTACCAATATCATCTCCTCCTCCTCCTAATACTACTAATACTACTAATACTACTACGGCGAATAAGGATAAATCATCATCAGCAGCAGTAGGAACAGAGAAACCCCAAAAGACTTTATTACCGAATGTGAATACGGTAACAATAGAAGAAGCGAAAAGACGTGAGGACGAGTTAAGACTGCGTTTACAGGCACGTATTGATATTCTGCAAGAAACTCTACAACGTGCAGAGTTGGAACTTCAACAAAAACTCGATGAAGCTCAACGAAGAACCACATCAACTGTAAATGCAAAAGTTGTTTCTTCACCCACAGCGACTGTTTGGCAACGTCCACCTCCTGTTCCTACAACAACAACAGCAGCAACAACAATTCCAGGGATGATTTCAAATCGTCAGGAACAAGTTTGTACTCCACATTTCAGTCAACTACAACCTCAATCCACACAACTACCACAACCACAATCATGTAGTTTCTCTACACCTGTGCTTAATCGAACCTTCTCTACTATTGCCCCTGTGAATAGTCTATGGAGTAGCGCCCGTCCGAGTCCAACACATCAATTCTCTTGGCTTGATACCGCCAACACATTTCCCACTCCTCAGTTGAACGAACGCCAGGATGGACCAACACAAGAACGACTAATAGATAACCCAACAACAACAACGAATGTAGTTCCTCAAAAAGATCTTGTTTTCGAAGATCGACTGCGTCGTGCCAAGTTATTACTAAAAGAAAGAAAAGATCAGTTACGTATACAACAAAACCGCATGAGGCGGGCCCGTGAAGTATGGCTGCGGGATATGAAGGATTGCCATAAACGACACGATCGTGAACGTGCAGTGTTGTTGCGTCAAATTAAAGTAGCCCTTGAACAGAAGGCACAACAACTCAATCATGAAGTGATGGATTTACGATCTGCGTCTGCATGGATTCTTGATCGCGAAGCGCAGTATAAAGAATCATTAAACCCGCAACAACGAACTACACATCCTTTATATTATTCTTCTTCTTATACTCCTGCTGCTATTCCCACTGGTGGTGAATCAAAGCAGATTATTGAATTACTACAGAGTATGCTGGCACGTACAGAGATGTTGGAATCATACATTAAATCCCCACAGCAGTATAGTATCCTTCAAGACCCCACTAAGAGTCGATTTCAACAACAACAACAACAACAAGAAGAAGAAGAAGAATATGAAGAAGATGATGAAAGAGAAGAAGAAAAAGGACGACGACGAAATCATCATCGTGAACAGAAACGACATGCAGTATCACCGCAACCACGCCGTCCACGTAATCATCACGTGGACGCCTTGGCATTAGGCTCAGACGCCACTCAAGGTGATATTAGGCGGTGGCTGCAGGAACAGCAGCTGGCATTGTGAGGAAAAGAATACATAACGATTGAAGGAAATCAGGAAATCGAAAAAGAAATCAACAACAGGAAGAAGAGGAAGAAGAAAGAAAAGGATATGAGAAGGGCAAGAAAGAAAAAAAAAAAAAAAAA